CTGGGTGACCGAGTGAGACTCCAACTCAAAAAAAAAAAAAAATTAACTAAAAATGATTATGGACTTAAATGTAAAACTGTAATCCTTTTAGATATAAAAACTAACCTGAATCTTGGACTAGGCAAAGAATTTTTAGACTTGACACTAAAAACATGACTCATGAAAGAAAAAGTTAGCTGAGCATGGTGGTTCATACCTATAATCTCTGCACTTTGGGAGGCAGGGAGAGGATTGTCTGAGGCCAGGGGTTGAAGACCAGCCTGGGCAACTTGGCAAGAGCTTACCTCTATAATAAATTTTAAAAAATGAGCCAGGCATGATAGTGCGTGGCCTGTAGTCCCAGCTACTTGGGAGGCTGAGGTGGAATGATTGCTTGAGCCCAACAGGTCAAGGCTGTGGGGTCCGTGAGTGTGCCATTGTACTCCAGCCTGGGCACAGAGTGAGACTCCAACTCAAATAATAATAATGATAATAATAATAAGAAGAAAAGGAAAAGTTAATAAATTAGACCTCATCAAAATGAAAACATTTGCTCTGTGGAAGACCCTATGAAGAAAATGACAGATAAGCTGCAGACTGTGGGAAAATAGTCGCAAACCACACATCTGACAAAGGTAGATAAAGATACATGGAGACTATATCGCCAGGCATGGTGGCTCGCCTGTAATCCAAGCACTTTGAGAGTTGGAGGCGAGAGGATTACCTGAGCCCAGGGGTTCCAGACCAGCCTGGGCAACATGATGAGATCTCGTCTCTACAAAAAAAAAAATCAAGAAAAATTAGCTGGGTGTGGTGGCACATGCCTGTAGTTCCAGCTACTTGGAAGGCTGAGGCAGAAGAATTGCCTGAGCCCCCCAGGTCTTGGCTGCAGTGACCGGGAGCGCGCCACTGTCCTCCTGCCTGGGTGGCAGAATGAGACTCCTACTCAAAAAAAAAGAGCAGCTCTGTATCTTGAGTGGTGGTGTTTACACAAATATACATCTGTGATAAAATCCCATAAAACTATATATCAACACAATAAGTGTCTGTTACACTGGTGAAATCTGAATAAACTGTGGATTATACCAATGTCCATTTATTGGTTTGGTATTTTACTTTATTTATGAAAGATCTTACATTTGGGGGAAACTGAGTAAAAAAACTACATGGAATCTCCCTGTACATACTTTTGTAGCTTTCTGTGAATATAGTTATTTCAGAATTAAAACATTTGTGATTTAAATAAATTCATATTTTTATTTTATTTTATTTATTTATTTATTTATTTTTTGGGTTGGGGTCTCATTCTGTTACCCAGACTGGAGTGCAGGGGCATGCTCCCGGCCACCACAGCCTCAACTACTGGGTTCTGGCGATCCTTCCGCTTCAGCCTTCCAGATAGCCGGAACTATAGGCACTCACTACCATGCCTGGCTAATTTTTGATTTATTGTAGAGATGAGGTCTTGCCAAGTTGCCCCAGTGGGTCTCGGATCCGCAGGCTCGGATCCGCAGGCCTACATAAATTCTTTTTTTTTCTTTTTTTTTTTTTTTGAGTGGGATTCTCACTCTGTCGCCCAGGCTAGAGTGCAGTGGCACGTACATTCACGGCCACCCCAGCGTTGACCTGCTGGGCTCAGGCAATCTTTCCACCTCAGCCTTCTAAGTAACTGGAACTACAGGTATGCTCTGCCACGCCTGGCTAATTTTTTATTTATTGTAGAGATGAGGTCTTGCCAAGTTGCCCGGGCTGGTCTCTAACCCACTGACTCAGGCAATCCACTAGCCTCAGCCTTTAAAAGTACTGGGATTACAGGCTGAGCCACCAAGCCTGGCCTATATAAATTCTTAAATGGGTGGATGTAATTAATTATTGTATTATTTAGGAATTTTTGGTGTTTAAGTTATAGAAACCCAGGGAAGCCGAGGTGAGAGGATTGTCTGAGTCCAGAGGTTCAGGACCAGCCTGGGCAACTTAGCGAAACCTCATCTCTACAATAAATAAAAAAATAAGCAGGGCATGGTAGGGCGTGCCTGTAGTTCCAGCTACTTGGAAGGCTGTGGTGGAAGAATTGCTTGAGCCCAACAGGTTGAGATTACAGTGCCCTTGAGCTTGCCAGTGAACTCTAACCTGGACGACAGAGTGAGACTCCAACTGGACACAGGAGGATAGAGTATTTTGAATGCCACCTGGTCTCATGTTTACCTCTGAGGCCAGGAGGGTGGAAGTTTTGGGGCTGTGAGGTGGGGCTGCTCTGTCCAAACTACCCCAAGACAGATGGACACTGATAAGAAAAAGGGGGAAAGATTTTCTAGGAAGACTAAAACAAACAAGCAAGCAAGACAGCCAAAAAACCACCCACAAAAACCACCCAATCTAGCCGTGCTCGGTGGCTCAGCCTGTAATCCTGCGCCTTTGGGAGGCTGAGGTGAGTGGACTGCCTGAGCCCGTGGGTTCGAGATCCGCCTGGGCAACTTGGCAAGACCTCATTTCTACAATAAATAAAAAAAACCAGCCGGGCGTGGTAGCGTGCGCCTGTAATTCCAGCAACTCGGAAGGATCGCTGCAGCCCAGTAGGTCAAGGCTGCGGTAGCCGGAAGCGGCCACTGCACTCCAGTCTGGGCGATGGAATGAAACTCCAACTCAAAAAAAAAAACAAAAAAACAAAAAACCCACCCAATCTAACAAATATCAATTAATCAATCAGTCAATCAATTAATTAATTTTTTGAGTTGGAGTCTCACTCTGTCACCCAGACTGGATTGCAGGCGCACACTCAGGGCCACCCCAGCATCGACTTACTGGGCTGTGGTGATCCTTCCATCTCAGCCTTCCAAGTAGCTGGAACTACAGGGACGTACCACCACTCCCAGCTAATTTTTGATTTATTGTAGAGACAAGGTCTCCCCAAGTTACCTAGGCTGGTCTCGGACCTGTGGGCTTAGGCAGTTCGCTCACCTCAGCCTCCCAAAGTGCTAGGGTTACAGGCTGAGCCATGGATCCTGGCTGTAATTTATTAGAGAAAACAATTAGAACAAGGTCAGTGTCTTGAAAAGCATACTGGTTCTAACCTAAGTTGTTCCTTTATTGTTACTGGTGGTGGTTCATAAGTCAAAATGTGGTTCTTATCCGGGCTTGGTGGCTCAGCCTGTAATCCCGCGCCTTGGGAGGCTGAGGTGAGTGGATTGCCTGAGCCTGCGGGTTTGAGACCCACCTGGGCAACTTGGCGAGACCTCATCTCTACGGTAAGTCAAAAATTAGCCAGGCATGGTAGTGCGCACCTGTAGTTTCAGCTACTTGGAAGACTGAGACAGAGGGATCGCCGGAGCCTAGCAGGTCGAGGCTGCAGTGGACGGGAGTGGCCACTGCACTCCAGTCTAGGTGACAGAGTGACACTCCAACTCAAAAAAAAAAAATGTGGTTCTTTGTCTAGACAAGATATCACCAACTTTACCTTGTTAAAAGCTTATTTCTTTTTTCATTGTCTTCTGTCATGTAGGACAAACATGAATACCAGCATTCAGAATCTATGGTACTTCAGTCTTGCCGGGGGACCAAAGTGGAAGGCTGCATTCGAATGTATGAACTGGTACACAAACTGAAAGGAACAGTAAGTGAACACCCAAAGTAAGGCAGGCTTTACCCTAGGGAGCCACATTTAACTGCAGTTCCCCAGAGCTAAGGAATACATACTGTACACCACTCCTTGTTCCCACCTGCTGGGGAGATAGTGTAATGGAGAGCTCAGGAGTGAGCACTCAGAAGACAAATCTGATTTCAAACCCTGTCTCTTTTGCTTCATATGTGACCTTGGTAGAATTACTTTGGCTTTTCTAGCTTCCTTTTACTTCTTCAAAATTTGGAGATGGTCTGGGGTTGTCAGATAAACTTATACTGAGAAGATGGGACCTTAATAACCTCTTGAAAAAAGAATAGCCAGACGTGGTGGCTCACACCTGTAATCCCAGCACATTGGGAGGCTGAGGCAGTGGATTGCCTGAGCCTGCAGGTTCAAGATCAGCCCAGGCAACTTGGCGAGACCTTGTCTCTACAATAAATAAAAAAAGAAAAAAATTAGCTGGGCGTGATAAGGCACGCCTGTAGTTCTGGCTACTTGGAAGGCTGAGGCGGAAGGATCGCCAGAGCCCAGCAGGTTGACAATGGGGAAGCCGTGAGCATGCCACTGTACTCCAGCCTGGGTGATGGAGTGAGACTCCAACTCAAAAAAAAAAAAGAGTATTATAATCTGAGTGAAACATGATGGTTTCTTAGACTAGGGTGGTAGCAGTAGAGATGGTGAGAAATGGCTAAATTCTGATATCTGAGTTGTAAGCTGAAGACTTAAGTCCTTCATCTTTGGAAGCTTTTCCCCCCTTAATTCATCTCTACATTGCCATTTTTCCTTCCAGAACTTTTTTTTTTTTTTTTTGAGTTGGAGTCTCATTCTGTCACCCAGACTGGAGTGTGGTGGCCGCTCCCGGCCACTGCAGCCTCGACCTACTGGGCTCCAGCGATCCTTCTGCCTCAGCCTTCCGAGTAGCTGGAACTACAGGCGCACGCTACCGCGCCTGGCTCATTTTGATTTATTGTAGAGATGAGGTCTTGCCAAGTTACCCAGGTGGGTCTTGAACCCACGGGCTCAGCCAATCCACTCACCTCAGCCTCCCAAGGTGCGGGATTACAGGCTGAGCCACCGAGCCCGGCTCCTCCAGAACTTTTGATTGATTGATTGAGTCAGAGTTTCACTCTGTCACACAGGCTGGATTGCAGTGGCACAATGATGGCTCACTTTAGCCTCAACCTCTTGGGCTCAGGTGATCCTTCCACCTCAGCCTCCTGAGTAGTTGGCACTAAAGGCATGCATCAACATGCCTGCCTTTTTTTTTTTTTAATTTTATTTTTGTAGAGATTAGGTCTCATTTTGTCACGCAGGCTGATCTCAAACTCCTGGGCTCAAGCAGTCCTCCTGCCTCAGCTTCCCAAAGTGCTGGGATTACAAACTTGAGCCACTGTGCCCAGTATAGAACTTTTATTAGTTGTGTGTTAAATCTCCTAAATTAATCCTCCATATCTCTTATCCTTTCTCTCATTTTTTTGTCTTTTTGTCCTGTTTCCTAGATGATTTCCATATTTTATCCTTATATTATTAACTGAAAAAAATACATATGAAGCTGGGCGTGGTGGCGCCAGGTGTGGTGGCATACACCTGTGGTTCCAGCTACTTGGAAGGCTGAGGTGGAAGCATCGCCTGAGCCCAGCAGGTCAAGGCTGGGGTGGCTGTGAGCATGGCACTACACTGCAGCCTGGGTGACAGAGTGTGACCCCAACTCAAAAAAACCCAAAAAACTTATGTATGTGTTTTTTACTACATGCCTAGTTTTTATAGTTTTTATGAGCCTTTTCATATTCTCCACTTATTCCTTTTTCAGAGCATTTTATTCGCATTTTTTTTTTTTTTTGAGTCAAAGTCTGCCTCAACCTATGCTCAAGTGTTCCTTCCACCTTGACCTCCCAGGTAGCTGGGACTACGGGTGCGTGCCACCACGCCTAGTTAATTTTTTTATTTTTTGTGGAGATGAGGTCTTGCTATGTTGCCCAGACTGGTCTCGAACTCCTGGGCTCAAGCAGTCCTCTTATCTTGACCTCACAAAGTGCTGGGATTACAGGCATGAGCTACCGTGCCTGGCTGGAGTTAGTCATTGGCTAGAACACCTACCCTTGCCATGGGGCCTGGGCTTCCTCATAGTATGAGAGTCAAGTTCCAAGAACAAGTATTCCGAGGGAAACTGGCAGAACCGCGTGGCCTTTCTAACCTAGTCTCCAAAGCCATGTAACCTAGTTTTTCTGGCCACGTTCTATTTATCAAGGTTGTCATGAGGGCCTGCTCAGGTTGAATTGGAGGGAGTGGGAGGATTGTCAAAGAATTTGCAATCTGCTTTAAAACTATTATAGCACAAATGCCTGGCTCTGGCTGTTTTGAGCTAATGACTGGGGAAGGGAGCAAGAGTTGATGATTTTGTCTACAAACATTCAGCAACTCCTTCCATTTTCCGCCTCATGAGGCCCTCCAGTATCAGACCTGGCATTCCCAAGCTTGAGCCTCTCTGGGGTTCTCCGGCTAGATCAGCTCTGTTCTGCTGAGGCACAGTCTGCTTATGTACATGCATACATAAGCATGTGTGTCTCTATGTGTATAGGTTTTCTCTATCTTCCAGCATTTCTCCACTGACTTTTGTCTTCCACGGATGTGTAGAAAGTGTTTCCCGGCTGGTGATCTCTCTCTCTCTCATGCTTTCTGTCGAGTCTTTTTTCTCTTCTCAACTCTCTTTTAAACAGAGTGTCATAGGAGAGGATATATATGCTTGTTTTCAATTTGCCTTCTTACTCTGGAAGCTTTAAAATAAGTTTCAAAATAGAATAGCATAATGAGGTAACAATATATTTTGATATAGCTCTGTGCCAGTATACAGCATCTCAATCTCCTTAAGGGCTGCACAGTATGACTGTACTATCATATATTTCATCATTCCTCGGTTGATTTAAGTGGTTTTGAATTCGTTGCCATTATCAACAAGGCTTCAGTGAACATCCTTATATATATATATTTGCACACATATTGCAAGTATTTCCTCAGGCTAAATTCCTAAAATATAACAAGTGTCAAAGGATATATACCCTGTAAATTTTAATAGTTAAAATGTCAAACAGCCCTTAACTAAATGGGAGTACTCCCTCAGATAATGAATGAGCCTGGGCACAGTAGCTCATGCCTGTAATTCCAGTACTTTGGGAAGCCAAGGTGGGAAGATCATTTGAGCCCAGGAGTTTGAGACCAGCCTGAACAACATAGTGAGACTCCCCATCTCTACCCCAAAATATATTTTTGTTAGTGAGTGTGGTGGTGCACACCTATAATACCAGCTACTCTAGAGACTGAGTGGGTAGATTGCTTGAACCCAGGAGTTCAAGGCTTCAGTGAGCTATGATCTTGCCACTGTACTCTAGCCTGGGCAATAAAGTGAGACTCTATCTCTTTAAAAAAAAAAGAAAAGAAATAATGAATGAAATATCTGATACCCTTCAGTATAACAGAAAGGGACTTACCTCAGTGGAGGTAGGAGAGAAAGTCTTCTAGGCAGATATAATAACATGAGGAAAACAGTGAGATAGGAGTGTGTATGGCATGTTTATGGAATTATAACAAAGATTTCCATAGATTACCATGAAAGCCTCATAGTACTACACAGGGTGGAAGCCTAGAAGTGCATGGCTGCTTGCTACTACGTGGCTAGGTGTCTGTCCATTCCCTGCCTGTACTGGAATGACATAAACCATGTGGGGCAAATTGGAAGAGCGTTTTCAAAGAGCTGAGTTCAAAGATCAACTCAAAGGATAGAGTAGACTCCTTCAAAGGTTCTGAGAAGTAAGCAGATGATTCCATGCCCTCGAGCTTCTGAGGGTGTTAGGGACTGATGGGAGGGTGGCCCACAGGGGTCCATGTGCAGGTGCTGAACCTTTTCAGGAGGGCCTGAGACAGTGGCAGGAGGAGCAGGAGAGGAAAGTTCAAGCGCTCTCAGAGATGGCATCTGAACAACTGAAGCGGTTTGACGAGCAGAAGGAGTTGAAGCAGCATAAGGAATTCCAAGACTTGCGGGAAGTCATGGAGCAGAGGTGAGTCTCCCTGAGTTGTGACGGGAAATGTGTGCTCACCTGGAGCTCTTTCCCAAGAAGAACCCCAAAGGAATTTGAACTACTTCTAAGTCCTTAAGTATCAAAACAAAATAGAGAAGCTCATAACCTGGAAAAATGGCCAAAGTAACACAAAGAGGGAAACTTTTAGGAGATGTAAAACAATTTTAGGCCTGGTACGTGCCTGTAGTCCTACTTACTTGGGAGACTGAGGTTGGCAGATAGCTACTGCTCAGGTACTTGGCTATAGAGAGCTATGATTGTGACTGTAAATAGCCACTGCACTCCAGCCTGGGCAACAGTGAGATCCTGTCTTCAAAAAAAGAAAGAAAGCAAAAGACTTTTAGGAAGCATCCCTGACTCTTCCTCCCTGCCATTTTTCATAGCTCCAAAGAAGCCTTGGGTCACCAAGAGAAGCTCAAAGCTGAGCATCGTCACAGAGCCAAGGTCAGAGCCTGGGAGAATCAGTGTGGGTGTTTAGCTGTCTGTCTGTGACCTGCTTGAAGAGTCAGGTTCTGATCACCATAGTGAACCTGGCACCTATCATGCCTCTGTGACCAGCCTCAGGAAGTCCTGTTCCTGCTCTGAGCCCCCATCTGTGTGTGGCCCACGCAGGGCTTGAGGGGTGTAGGCAGAGGAAGCCCAGGAGCCTCAGAAGAGGTAACTCAGCCCTTTTGTAGATTCTCAACCTGAAGCTGCGAGAGGTGGAGCAGCAGCGCTTGAAGCAGGCGGAGCAGGAGCGGCTGCGGAAGGAGGAGGGCCAGGTGCGCCTGCGCAGCCTCTACACCCTGCAGGAGGAAGTGCTGCAGCTCAACCAGCAGCTGGACGCCTCAGGCCAGCACCGGGACCTGAAGGTCGACCTGGCCGCCTTCCAGACCCGAGGCAACCAGCTGTGCAGCCTCATCTCAGGGATCATCCGGGCCACTTTGGAGGTAAGGGGGCCTCCGGAGTGACTCCACTTTCCATCTTTGGGATGGAGAATTTTAAAAGCAGTGTTGTTTTTGGACTTAAAAGTAATGCCTGCTTATTGGAGGAAATAGACATTACTTGTCATCTCCTTACTTAGAAGTAATCATTATTAACACTTTATTTTGGGTTTTTTCCTGACATGGTGTTTGTGTGTTTGTGGGTATGGGTGTGTGTCTGCATGTGTTATCACCACCCTAAATTGGACTCATGTAGATAAAGTGGTTCATATCTTAGGTTTAAGAAGTATTTGTTCACTTTGAGAGGCCGAGGTGAGAGGATTGCTTAAGCCCAAGGGTTCGGGACCAGCCTGGGCAACTTGGTGAGACCTCATCTCTATAATATATAAAAAAAAAATTAGCGAGGCATGGTAGTGCTTCTGTAGTTCCAGCTACTTGGAAGGCTGAGGTGGAAGGATCTCCTGAGCCCAGCAGGTTGACACTGGAGTGGCTATGAGTGTGCCACTGCACTCCAGCCTGGGTGACAGAGAGGCTCTGACTCAAAATAAATAAATGAATAAATAAAAGAAGAAGAAGAAGTATTTGTTTCAGGCCAGGCACAGTGGCTCAGGTCTATAATCCCAGCCCTTTAGGAGGCCAGGCGAGAGGATTGCCTGAGACCAGGGTTTAAGACCATCCTGGAGCCAGGCTCGGTGGCTCAGCCTGTAATCCCGCGCCTTTGGGAGGCTGAGGTGAGTGGATTGCCTGAGCCCGCGGGTTTGAGACCTGCCTGGGCAGCGAGACCTCATCTCTACAATAAATCAAAAAATCAACCGGGCGTGGTAGTACACGCCTGTAATTCCGGCTACTCGGAAAGCTGAGGCGGATCGATCACCGGAGCCCAGCAGGTCGAGGCTGCAGTGGCCGGGAGCGGCCACTGCACTCCAGTCTGGGCGACAGAGTGAGACTCCAACTCAAAAAAACAAAAACAAAAAGAGAAAAAACAACAAAAATAAGACCAGCCTGGGCAACTTGGTGAAACCTCGTCTCTACAATAAGTAAATAAAAATATTAGCCAGGCGTGGTGGCATGTGCCTGTAGTTCCAGCTACTTGGAAGGCTGAAGCAGAAGGATTTCCTGAGCCCACCAGGTCAAGGCTACAGTGACTATGAGCATGCCACTGCACTCCAGCCTGGGTGACAGAGTGAGACTCCTACTCAAAAAGTAAAAAAAAAAGCAGTATTTGTTTCTGGTTGGGCATGATGACCAAGGCAGGAGGATTTCTTGAACCTAGTAATTCAAAACCAGCCTGGGCAACATAGCAAGACCTCATCTCTACAAAAAATAAATTAAAAAATTAGCCAGGTGTGGTGGCATGTGCCTGTTGTCCTAGCTACTTGGGAGGCTAAGGCTGAAGGATTGCCTGAACCCAGGAGGTTGAGACTATGGTGTGCTGTGATCATGACACAGCGCTACAGCCTGGGTATTAGAGTGAGACCCCAACTCAAGAAACAAAAAAAAAGTATTTTTTTTCTTGAATTGCAAAATACTTTAGTATATTCAGTAATATATATTGAATGCCTGCTATACTTACGATAAACATGAAAACCTTACAGAAATGTGTACTGCTTTTTTTAACATTGTATTTTGTTCTGCTTTGTTTTGTTTTGTTTGAGTTGGAGTCTCACTCTGTTGCCCAGGCTGTTCCCACCCTCAGCCTGCTGGGAAGGTAATCCTTACGCCTCAACCTTCCAAGTAGCTAGAACCACAGCTATGCCACCACGCCTGGCTAATTTTTTGATTTATTATAGAGACGAGATCTTACCATGTTGCTCTGGCTGGTCTTGAGTCCCTGGTCTCAGGCAATCCTCTCATCTCTGCCTCTCAAAGTGCTGGGATTACAGAGACGAGCCACCCTGTCTGACTGGGTTCATTTGTTTTCTTATTTTTAAGAATTTTGTTTTCGACTGGGTGCAGTGGGTCATGCCTATAATCTCAGCACTTTGAGAGATCGAGGTGAGAGGATTACCTGAACCCATGGGTTCGAGAATAACCTACGCAACTTGGCAAGACCTCACACATCTCTACAATAAATCAAAAAATTAGCCAGGTGTGGTGGCGCGGGCCTATTGTTCCAGCTACTTGGAAGGCTGAAGTGGAAGGATCACCTGAGCCCAGCAGGTCAAGGCTGCGGTGGCCGTGAGTGTGCCCCTGCACTCCAGCCTGGGTGACAGAGTGAGACTCTGACACACAAATTTTTTTTTTTCAATTTAGCCAGGCATAGTGACTCATGCCTTTAATCTCAGAACTATGGTGGGCTGAGACAAGAGGATTGCTTGAACCCAGTAGTTTGAGAACAGTCTGGGCAACATAGGGAGACATCGTTTCCACAAAAAAGTCACAAAAATTAACCGGGCATGGTGGTGCTTGTCTGTAGTCCCAGCTACTTGGGAGACTGAGGTTGGAGGATTGCCTGAGCCCAGGAGGCTGAGGCTGTGGTGAGCCGTGATTGTGCCAGTACACTTCAGCCTGGGCGACAGTGTGAGACCCTGACTCAAAAAAAAAAAAAAAAAAAAAAGAATTTTTTTCAACTGGATTTAATTTTGTTTATAATTATGTGAAAAATTTACATTCCAAAGTCAGAACGGTAAAACAAGATACCCAGAAGAGTCAGGGCGCTTCAGGGCGCCCAGGCGCACCATGTGCCACAGGCTGGGAAGATAAGCAGAGTCGCTCTGGGTGAGCCCTTGGATGGGAGACCTCCCGCCCAGGGAATGCTGCCTTCTGCTGGCTTCATCCCGGCTTTGTACCTATGGCTCTGCCACTTCTTAGCTGGGCTCGGTGCCTCAGCCTGTAATCCCGCGCCTTTGGGAGGCTGAGGTGAGTGGATTACCTGAGTCCGCGGGTTTGAGACCCGCCTGGGCAGCGAGACCTCATCTCTACAATAAATCAAAAAATTAGCCAGG